CACTGTCGAATCAGTAAACGCGAAAATTTCGTCGACATGACAGCGGGGAGAAACAGTGTCGATAACAAATCGAAACAGTTTCGATAATAATACAGCAGCACAAAGCTCTAGGCGGGCTAAGGAAATAACCTTGAGCGGCGCGACCTTGCTTTTGGCACCAATTAAATTGACTTCATTTGGTCCGGAAGCTGGTTGTACAAAAATATACACAGAAGCACCCATCGCTTTTTCAGAAGCGTCCGCAAATCCCAGTAGTATGACACGGGACTCGGGCACGATGCCTACGAAGCGAGGTATTTTAAAGTCTTGCAGAGCGGGGAGTTCACTAAGAAAGCGTTTCCATGCAGCACAGATGTCGCTTGGGGGCTCTGTATCCCAATCAATCTGAGCTACCCAGAGAGCTTTTATTAACAATTTTGCGTGTAAAATGACAGGGGCACAAAATCCGTTTATGTCCCACAGTTTAGCGATTGTGGAAAGCATAAGGCGCTTTGTACATTTTGCTTGCGGGTTGAATTTAATAGCGATTGAAAATTCATCCTCGACCGGTGACCAAATTAGACCTAGGAGCTTCATATTATCCTCTTTGTCGAATTCAATTTTTGAAGATAAGCGGTTGGCTTGCGGAATCGATTTTAACACCTCGGGCGAATTGCTAACGAATTTAACTAAGTCGAAACCACCACGTTTGAATAGTTCGATGAAATCATGAGCCAACTGAATTCCATTCTCGGGCGTATCTACCGAAACTCCTAGATCATCCATATAAAGATGATCACTAGCGATTTCTGAAGCGATCGGGAAATCAGTTTCATCGCGGGCGAGACGCTTGACTGTCTTCATAGCAAGGTACGGCGAGCACCGTAGACCAAAACAAACGCGATTAAAATGATACATTTTCGCGTTATCATCTTTGTCAAATTTGTATAATATATTCAAAAAGCGGCGGTCTTCCTCACGAATGCCCTATAGCCAAAAACATTTGTTTGATGTCGGCGGTTAAAGCAATCGGAAACAGTCTGAATTTTAAAATAATCGCGGTTAGGTCTGCTTGCAAATTAGGACCGGAATGTAAACAATCGTTCAATGAAACGTTTGTATCTATGCATCGTGCAGTTGCGTTCAGTACAATGCGGAGCGGTTTGTCTTCTCGGCTTATACCGTGGTGAGGGATGACGTAATAATTCGTATCAGTAAGAGCGGGTGCGGGTGAAATGATGTTCCGTTCGAGATAGTCTCATCGCGGCATCGTAATCAGTTTTTAAAGCGATCTTTGTCTTAAATCTGCGTTCGAGTGACGACAGACAGCGACGTGCGGTTGTAAGAGAATCGCCCAGAGCGGTAGGCGACCTCAAGAAAGGCAAAGCGGTGACGTAGCGTCCAGTTGTGTTATCGCGGTATGTATTTAAATCATAAAAATCCTCACATTCCTGTTCGGCTTTAGACATGTGTGTTTTAGTCGGAACTGACTCCAACTCCCAGAACTTCTGAGACTAAAGTTTCGATCGAGTCATTACTCGACGATAAAAAGGCGTGATCGTTATCACAAGGCGCGGTATTATTGTGACAAGGGAGCGAAGCGATCGGGACCCTAAGAGTATGTATCCAAATTGGCGGTTTCCAATAAATCAGGTTTTTTCCAGGGCGGACCTAAAACTTTGTAGTCTTAGGATCTGCATGAATACTTCGGCGCAAGCAGAATGTCTTTTCAGCGGGTTTATTAAAGGCGGGTCCGCGGCTGCTGTATGCATATATACCTATGTAATAGAGACGACCTGAAATTGCCATCCCACTCGCAAGTTTACTGACACATAATATTTTAAGAACAGATGTGGGTTATGCGTAAACACAAAGCTTGGCATGGTACTAGACAGTAACGTTACATCGGTATTTCCAGTTATAGTTTGAGATCTAGTACTCTATTCCATTTACGGATCGTTCGGATTGTCGTGGAAGGATTCGAGGCCTAAATGCTTTTACAAGCTTGGCGGGTAACAAAATGGTTTTGTGATCCATTATCTATCAAAATTCTAATTTGAGCAAGAGTTCCGTCACTTCTTTTCACATCAGCAAGAAGGGCTGCCAAGTAAAACATTGTTAGTTTTTCGCGTGTTATTTGAGTTAGCAC